ACACGTACGCACCCGACTCGTTTTGCGTTGCGGTGTAGCTGGTCAGATGCCATAAAGTAGATTGCAGGTCATGCCTAAGCAGCGCGGAGCTGCAAGAGTAGAAAGTCGAGGTAAAGCGAATGAGCGAACGATTGCAATGCCGAGGCTTCGAAGACATTTCATATGAGCGACGTCGACGTACAAGATGAAGTCTTGCCCTGCTTGATTTCCTGCAGCAGCATTCCGCAGGATCCTGGCTGCAAACAAACTTCTCTGTGCCTCTTCTTGCCGCACTTCATCTCCAACAAAGTATTTGCTTGCCACGCCAAGACATTCTGCAAGCAGGTCATCAACAAGTTGTGGACGTGCTCGGCAAAATTCGATGAAATCCTGACGCGCACGAGGTGTGATGGCTAGCGACTTGGAGAGATCGTGTAGGCATTGAAGCGTTGACGCGGACCATGACTGCAGGGAGACGGTGGCGTGTTGAACCTCTTCTTGCTCCGGCATGGCCGCTTTGCAATTCTTTGGGAGTGTGTTGAAGCTTCGGGATTTGCGTGGGCTATGATTGATGGGTCTGAAGGACGATGTGTTGAGCGCTTATGCCCGTATGGCACAAGTGCAAAAGGCTCTGGTTGCAATCCCGCAGAGTAATTCTCTCAAGTCAGCAGTAGGCGTGTGCTTTGAGGACCAAGACCTGACAATCACGTGAATGTTTGCCCTGCCGAACTCGGATGAGATTGCATAGCCGCTTTTGCGCCCTGTTCGATGGACTGATACGTCGCCTGCTCTGGCACCTAAAGCTGGGGTTCCTTTTTGCTTGCACTAGCGGCGAAGCATACCCCTTCGTGACGTATCGCTTCACTCTTGTCAGCTAGCCGGCTTATTCGTCCGCGCTTGCTCGCTATGCTCTGTGGACTTGTAGCATTCGTGACTCTTGCTGCATTTCACCATGACCCCGCTCGCATGCCATGCCTTTTAAAACAATCTTGAATCCAGAGAGCGATGCGTGCCCGAGAGATGTCTGCCATTCATCCATGTACCGGTACTCCATTCGTGATTGTGATTGGCCTGGGCATGCGATGCAAGAAAAAGTGGAGGTGGTCATGTGTGTGCAAGTTCGAGCGAACACTGTTTCCATCAGGCTCGACGCTTTCCGCTTTCCATGCAATCGTGAATGTGAATCTCTTCTTCTGCATGCAGCATATG